AAATTTGGTTATCGGACCAATCAACCAATTGAGCTTCAACTTGATTCCACTATGGCCACAGATTCCAAAGTCGTTGTCCTTCATCAGAATCTCACCAAGATAATATCTCCTGTGCACAGGAGTGATGAATCATTTGTTGATCCATCATAGTCGTGATGTACTTCTTGATGTAGCCAATCACTCCCATACTGATATCCCTATCAGGATTACGTTTGGATAGTGTCAAACTACAACAATAGGTACCAACGATGCTCTGCTAATCTCAAGTCTAAGGACCACATGCACCACCATTTGTTAGAGGATGTATTTCATGGACATTAGTGTTACCATCTATATGAAATCCTCTGATGGGTCTGGTGAACTCGTGAATAACAAGCACCCATGTGTCGTACCAAGTTGTCACCAAACAACCTTGAGATGTGAGGTATGTCACTACTTTCTGGTAGGGTCGTTCAACATTATGAAACCCTAACCGTGTTATCTATGCCCTAGGTTAGGATAATACTATAGATACGGACGTTTCTAGAATGGCCACCATAAGTGATCATAGGGTGGTTCTCACAATCAAGGCTTATCACTGCTTGAGTCCCTAGTCATAGTTCAACCACTGTAAGGGCATATATTAATACATACATATCAAATATGCTTTATATAATATAAACAATGCCTTTCATAGATTGAATAATCATGATCCATAAAGTCAACATACAACGATATGATTGGCTCAGGGGCACCTACACTAACACTCACACAATCAACCAAAAACCATTTATCCAAAAATCTGGATGATTTTATGCACAACTTTCATAGGCAACGAAATTTGATCTCTGAAGAATTTTTTTCTCATAAAAAGAAACAATAGAAATCGTACAATCAAACTCCATAGGCCCACTTTTCAAACCACTCTCCACTAATGTAGAATCCAAACACTACCTTGGATCATTAGGTCTTTATTATGGTTTTAACATTAGGCTAAGGTAATGGGTTATGAAAGAATGGAAAGGGATGTTGCAAGTGTAAGAGACTTAATCTTTTCACAGTATAATGACCATGAACAATCTCCTATTTGCTTCCCTTTTCATTCACCCACTATTCTTTCACATTCGTTGAACTCTTCTTACCAACATGAACATAAACCCTCATATAATGTCAACCTTATTCCATGTGCTTCTCACAAGCTACTTCTTCCTATGTTCATCATTTTTCTTTTTCCTTTTGTTTTTTGTTTTTCAAGATAGTAACTTATAAAAACAACAGTCAACCCCAACTTGCTTTTATTATTTTTTTTTCTCATAATCCCCAACCAATCTCATTGCATAACTCAGGTTGTGATCCAAAAGATATATTTATTTTCTTCTTCCACACTTCTTTTCATGAGTTTTTTTTTTCTACTAAGGTCACACCAAATTAAGTTTTTTTTTTTTTTTTTTCCAAATGAAGTCTCTCACAATAAGATGGGTCGGAAAATGTTTTAGGCTCATCATCAAGGTAGGATATGGTAGGTTTAAAACAAAGAAACAAGGCTTTTCAAGTGTATATTCAAGCTCAAAGGGTTAACTGGGGATAAAACAATAAAGGTTAGCTTGAAAGGCTCAATATCGTTCCAAAGAAAATTGCATAAATCATATCCTAAACAATTTGGATTCTAGGATTTCGCCTCAAGTGGTCATCAAATGAGTTCTAGAGTTTGTGGAGATATCAAGATTAAATGCCCATAAAATATCACACATAAAACTTCTCTAAGTAGGCGGATTACTCAACCAATCAATCTCATTCCCAAGAGAGTCTTAAACTAGATGCAATTGACACTCACTAACATCCTTACATTACGCAAAAGTTAATGTCTTCTTAAAGTTACTTGTGTATCATAATCATGGTTATATCATTGACATATGTATTAATCCAAGAAACAAACAAAATTCAAACAAATCATAAAAAAAATTTCCTCATCAATCCATAAGTTCAAAATTTTTGGAAGAAACTTCCCTTACCCCCACCCTAAAATCTACATTATCCCCAATGTACAAATGTAAACAAAAGGAAAAGGAGAAAAACAAAATTTACCCCCCTTTTGCAATAGTGAAGTGCGAAAACACGTAACAAATCGATCACCATCTTGTTTCATTCCATTGTTTCTATTTAATTTTGTCAAAACAAATAAACATACGGTGCACCTCATCAGCCACACACATCGATCGTTAAATCTATGAATCAGTGTAACCAATAGAAAGCAATATTATTGAACTAACCAGAAAAAATTAAACATACCTAAAAGCTAACACCTGCAACAATAACAAAGTAATCAATAAAAGAAAAAGAAAAAGAATCCAAAATAAAATAAAATAAAATAAACAACTTGGGTTGCTTCCGAAGAAGCACTTAATTAGAGTCGTAAGCTTGAGTTTTCTCTCTCTTCAATCCAGATTATCAAGGAGAATTGCAACCTGCTCATCTTCAAGTCCACCATCTTCATTAGGCTTCAATCGATGACCATTCACCCTCTCATTCTTAATTTCGGCCTCCATAGTCCTAGAGTTGACTAATCAATTTTCTAAGGGAGAAATAAGGTAACTTTCTTAGACAAAAAATAAATAAATAAATAAATAAATAAAAATTAGCCACTATGTTATCAGGGACACTAATCTTAAAGCATGTATCTAACTCAAATGGATGTTTCATGTCGTCGAAAACATTAAACTCTACTTGTTCATCTTCCACCCTCAAGATTAGTTTCCCTTGATGAACATCTATTAAAGTCCTACTCATAGCTAGAAAAGGTCTTCCTAATATTAAATGTACATTCCGGTCTTCTTCCATATCAAGAACTATAAAATCTACTAGAAAGATAAATTTGCCTACCTTTTATTAGGATGTCCTCCAACACTCCCCTAGGATACGTTATGGACCTATCCGTCAATTGGAGAGAAACCATAGTTGGCTTCACCTCTCCAAAGCCAAGTTTCCTATAAATAGAAAAGGGCATTAGATTAATGCTTGCTCCCAAATCACATAAAACTTTATCAAAATAACAACTACCAATAATGCAAGGAATAGTAAACCTCCCTAGATTTCTTAGTTTCAGTGGTATTTTCTTTTGAATCAATGCAATACACTCCTCGGTAAGCATGACCCTCTCATGTTCTTCAACCTTCCTTTTGTGCGTGAGGATCTCCTGAAGAAACTTTGCATATTTTGGCATTTGTTCCAACATGTGTACAAAAGGAATATTAATATATAAGCTCCTAACCATGTCAATAAACTTACCAAGTAGTTTGTCCAACTTCTGATTATTTAATCGGTATGGGTACAAAAGGGTAGGTTCATTTTTTCCGTTGGCCTAGGAGGCTTCAGAAGATTTTTCTACTTTTTCATGCTCATTGCAACGACAATTTTTATCGTCGCGGCATGCATGATTTTCTTCACGTTCTTGGTCTGCTTCAATTTATTCCTCATACCTTGTTTCCTCCAGTTGTTTACCATTTCTCAAAGTGATTGCATTGACTTGCTCCTTCGGATTTTTCTCTGTACCACTTGGCAACAATCCTTGAACTTTTCCTGATAGAATATTATAAATATGTCCCATTTGTTCATCAACTAATTTTGCAAGAGTACTTCATACTTCTGGAGTTGAGTTTCATTCTTCACAAACCTCTTACCTAACTCCTCCATAAATTTTTTAAGCGCATTCTTCATATTATATCTTGAATTTGAAAACCGGGAAGTGGTTTATGGTCAGCATTATTACTCCAAGAGAAGTTCGAGTGATTTTACCATGTTTGGTGTAACTGTTGGAGTACGGGTTTCCTTGCCCTCGCTGAAAGTTGCTCACATAATTTGCTTGTGTCGGTTGAGCAAATGAATTTCCTACGTGACAATCTTGACAAATAATTGATGCCTTGCTAGAGACAGATCTTGGTCTGTGTGTAGTGAGATGATTGATTGGTCTCAATCAGATAATACTCACTGCCAATATGATAAGGAGCCTACGGGTCATACACTTAGAAGAAAATTTAAGGATGGTGACCTTTTGGAAGGGTATATTCGTCTTTTAGATGAATGGATATATTGGTAATTTTGCTGTATAATTAAATTTAATAAGGTTGTAGCCTATGTCCAATTTTATTATTGGAGTAATTTAGCAAAATTATAAATTTAATTAAAGGAGTTAATATTAATATTTAAACTAAATAATTAAATTGGGTTAATATGCAATTCTACCTAACGTTTGGGTTATTGCTAAACTTGAGGGGTGGAAGGAATATTTGCCTCATTATATAAATGAAGCAAAATTAGGTTTATTCAACCTAATTTCATTTGTACCCGTGAGAGTCTTTTGAGAGAAGGATTTTCTCTCTTCTTCTCAATTCTCCTTGTTCCAAAATTTCATTCCTTAAAGCCAAGAATTAATTCTAGCAAAATTAATTCTTGGTCATTGTGGTACTGTCTTCGTGTGGACGACGTGAGTTCGATTCCATTCTTGAATCGATAGAGAGATCTCATTCAGAGACATTGACGAAGCCTCCAATTGCAAGTATAATCAAATCCTTGTATGGATTTACATTGTTTCAATTTAAGCATGTAATATATATATATAGACCCTGATCTTGGCTTTGTTAGAGTAATCGATGAGTGAAAATTTTTGTTTTTCCGCTGCCATCGTTCGTCGATTACTTACAATAATGTCATGCTCAAAATTCACATGTTAGAGAAGAAGCTTTAGTAGCATTCACTTGTAGAGCAACACCACCTAATTGTTTTTGGATGGCTACAAGTTGAGTAGCCAATGTAGTGTAACCGTCAACTTCATGCACTTCCATTGCTCTCCTTGTTATACTTCTCTCTGAGGATTCCATGTAGTTATTATTAGCCATCACCTCAATTGAATGTAGGCTTCCCCAAGTAATTTATTGTGCAATGCTCCTCCACTTGCAGCATCAACCATCACTTGCGTAATTGGCAGCAACACATTGTAAAACGCCTACACTTGCAACTATATTAGCAACCCATGGTGAGGACACTTTTGTAAGAGATCCTTGTACCTTTCCCAAGCTTCATAAAATGACTCCATATTTTGTTGGAAAAAATTAATAATGTCACCTCTCATCTTAGCCGACTTGACAGGTGGAAAATATTTTGTAAGGAACACTTGAACTAACTCATTCCAAGTAGTGATACTTCCAGGTGGTAATGCTATCAACCAAGCCTTAGCTTTATCCCGAAGAGAAAATGGGAAAAGCCTAAGCCTAATTGCATCATCAAATACCTGATTGTGTTTGAATGTGTTGCAGAGCTCTAGAAAATTTACTATATGCAAATTAGGATCATCACTTGGCAATCCTCCAAATTATACTGAATGTTGTATCATCTAAATGATGGCTAGCTTTATTTCAAAATTATTTGCTTGAACTGGTGGTCTCCTAATGCTAGATGAACACCCTTCAATAGTAGGACTAGAGTAGTCCTTCAATACTCTTTGAATAATTACAAATCCACCAGCCACATAACCCCTTCCACATTGTCCCCATGGACATCTTCATTGTTTCTTTCTTGGTTATTTGTTCCCATTAGATCAGCCATTGAATTGGATTCTGTGTGCTTGCTTGTCTGCTTACTTTTCTTAACTTTCTAACTGTTCTCTCAATCTCATAATCAAAGATCTAGATTTGCACCTTTAGAACGTAAGCTCTCCAAGACCTAAAGACACCAAAAAAAATAACTAAAATATAAATTAAAAAACTAAGAACAAAAATAAAACAAACTAAATTAGCAACTAAATAGTTCGTATTGATATTGATATTAAAAGTAATTCCCCAGCAATGACACCAAAAACTCAACAAGTTTTTTGCAAGTATACAAAATCGTGCAAGTAATAAATAATGAATAACGGATGTCGAATCCCAAGAGAATTACTAGCTACCAAGTACCAAAATAAACTAACCTATTACTAGTTGGTTAAACGAATCTTAGAAGCGTAACTTAACTAAAATCAACAGATTAAAAATCTGGAAGAAAATAAAATTAAACAAAATCAAATTGGTTGTAATGCAAATTTGACTAAACCTAGAGCATAGATTTAACACAAATTATATTCCTATGCATGGTTGAATGTACACCTTCTTATTATTTTATGTGAAATCATAATTGTGAAATCCATGAAGTTTTATGATCCATGACTGTTGTCAAATGTGACTTATTTGAGTTCTTTTTTCTTGATATACATAAATCCTATAAATTTTACTTACAATATAAACCATGGAATTGGCGACAACAATCCTTCAAAATAATGAACCGATTTTGCAAATCTTTATCAGATTTAGCTAAAACCCTAGCCATTGAGCAATCTCTCTAGATCTTGAACAAAAGCAGCCCAACCTTCTGAAGAAAAGAAATAAGCAATAGTTTCATAATTCTTCACCTAGAAAATGTAGTTTGATTAAAAAGGATCGCCAAATGGTGGGATCATTTTCATCATAGTCAACTGATTCAACAATGTTTTTGTTCTTGTCAAGAATGAAAGATAATTGATTATTGAGTGAAACATTAGGGTGAGGAATGTTAGACATTTTTTAGTAAAAGAGAAACAAGAGAGAGAAAAAAGAAAATGTTTGAGATTTGAGAATAGAAAGGAAAAGGGTTTGAAATTTTCAATTAAGACTTTTTAGGAAAGAGGAAGATGAGAGTGTTTTGTTGAAGAGAAAAATAAGAGAAAATCATTGATACAAAAAGTCTATTTCTCTCATTTATATATAATTATGTACACAATGTTTGCCCTTTTTATAGGCATACTTTTGGAGGGAAAATTTTACCATTCCCTCCTCTTTACATATCACACTTCCAATCCCTTTTTCCCAATCTTTTGATTATAGCATCCTTTGTTTTTATCATTTTATGTCATTGATCCTTTTTCTCTTAAGACTCTTACAAATTGTATATTGTTGTGCGGTAAATCTGGAAAGAGTAGCTCCCAATCAAGGAAGGATAATTTTGACTTTAGCAAGGAGATATCATGCAATACAAACTCCATAATTACAGTTGAAGATCAAGTTGTTTTCCTGTTTTTGAGCATTCAATGTTTATTTCCAATTCAAACTTGTAATGGGTGCTAGATAAACCTAACCCTAATATGTTTTGAGGGACGACAAGATATACAGATAGCAGAACGACTAGGCTAAGAAAAAGGAGAACTTGAGATAATTCTTTGTAACTCAATTTACAAATATGTTCAATAAATGGCAGTGGACATAGGTTTTGCATTATAAGTAGCCGAACTACTTTAAAATCCTTTTGCTATTTTTTTTTTTTTACTTTTATGTTTAATTGATGTTCATATACAACAATTTCTTTCCATTGCTGATCCATTAGAATTACACAAACATTTGACATGATTCTAACGTTGTCAATCACAAACCTCTCATTGTTGCAATTTCTTGCATCAACATATACAAAGTAAAGTATACAAAGAAATGTGACATTGCCCCTTAGTTGACAAATCTTTTATCTTTATTGTATGAGTTGATTTTACGGGTGTTCAAAAGCAGTTAACCGAACTAGTTTCTTGAATCGAAACCGAACCGATTTGGGGAGAAAACCGGTTTGAAAAAACTGGTTAACTGATTTTCCCCTTTTTATTGGATAAAACTTTTTTTTTTTTAAATCCTAAATTAAATTGTAGACATCAACAATACATGTCCAAATAAAAATTAAACATTCATACATACCATTGACCACAACTAACAATACATTAAAAATTGATACAAATAAAAGTCCGTAGTGAAACATCCATAATAAAACAACAAAATAACTAAATAAGTCCAAATGGAAAACAACAAAAGAAATTGTGCAAATAAAACAACAAAATAACTAAATAAGTCCAAATGGAAAACAACAAAAGAAATTGTGCAAATTTAGGGATTAAGATTATTATTATTATTATTATATATATTAGTAAACTGGTTCAAAAAATCGGTTTCGGTTAACCGATTTTCATTTTTACCTGAACCGAAAACGGAACCTAAAATCCAGTTTTTTGAATTCTTTGAACCGTAACTGAATTGTTTTTTCGATTAACCGGTTTTTTGGTTCGGTTAGGTTTTTGCATTTTTTTGAACACCCCTAGTTGATTTTATATTTTCACTCTCTCAATCATAATATGACATCTAACTTTAGATACAAACTCTGTAAGAGTAATATGTTCAATTTTTATTATTGATGACAAAGGTGAATATTGTTGACACACAAACAAGGCAAATATAGAGAAAGTATTGACACAAACAAGAAGAATAATGGGTTAAACTTAGATAAGGGAAGTATGAGAGATTTAGAGATTGATTGTAGAGAACATAATGAGCATAAGAAACGCTGATTAAGAGGGAGAAACCTTAAATCCCAAGCAAATAAGTTTTTTGGGATGTGACTTGTAGGTTGATAGTTAAAGTGAAATAAAAGTTTGCTACAATTTTCAATACCCATATAAAGGGGTGTTTGTCTGAGCTTATAAGCTAATCAAATCACATTTTATCAAACGCGTCAACTAGACTTGGCAAAACGGGTTCGGAGTCGCTGGTTGACCCTAAACCTGGGTAAAAAATATAGGGTACGATCTTTAACATTGGACCCATTTTTCTTGACCCGTACCTGACCCGACTCAGCCAGTTTTTCCAACGTGTTAGGCGAGTACACCCGTGAGTACCCGTTTGTTAAAAAAAAAAAAAAAAAAGACCTTACCCTTTTCATTTTGCTCCGAATTGTGAAATCCTAACTCTTTTCCCTTTTCCCTTTTCAATTTTCCCCTAACTCAAACTCACTCTCAATCTCTCATCACTCTTCTCTCAAACTCATCGGAATCACTAACTCCACCGTTGCTGCTTCTCCTATCTCCACTTTCGACATCTACAGTCTCCTAACTCCACCGATGCTGCTTCTCTTGTCTCCACTCTCGACGTCTGCTCATCCAAGGTATGCATATCCTAACTCACACCCACTCTCGTCTCTCACACTCACTCACTCACTCTCATCCTCTATTTAGCTCACTCACACTCATCTCTAGACTCCAATCTCCACGTCTTGCTTCTATTTTGCTACTCAAGGCTGCCAGTATGTTTCTATTCCAGCTAGTTTTTACTTTTTATCAATAAGTAATTGTTTTGTAATTGTAATGAAGTAGTTTCATTGCACCTTTAAAAGCAACATATTCATTCAATAGGTAGCATGATTGAATCCTAGAATCATAATCGTATGTTATCTGCTGATATTAAGTGATGTGTATATATAGGAAGAAGCTGCATGGTTTATGACAAAAAAGAGTTATGTCTTTGGATACGAGAGGCAGAGAGGATAAGATAATTAGCAGACCAAGTATCTGCCACATCAATTCTAGGCCACCAATGAGGTTTCAAGTTTTGGATTTCTAGATTTTTGATACTATATTTCATTGTTTTAGTATATGTTTGGTGGGGCTTGAGAGAGATATTTAGGTCCCATTCCCAAAATGTCATGTAAACATGATAAAAAATGAAATATGTAAATATACTTAGAGGCTTGACTGAATTCAGATGGATTCTGAAGTATATCTTGATCAGCTCTTATATGGATTCTGAAATTCTGACATTTTCATGCTACATTAACACTTGTGGCCAGATAAATGACATTGTTATATGAAAAGATTAGTACAAAGTGTCATTGTTATGACTTGACAGATTTGAAGTTTTACTTGATTTTTAAAGAAGTGATGGAGTTCCATGCAAATTGTAGTACGATGTGATTTGTGAACAATATTGCCTGCTGAAGTGATGATACGTTCTAGAAATGATTAATTAGCTTAATTTTTACATTATTAACTTAATATATAATTGACATCATTGTGATTACTGATTAGCACATGAAGTCAAGTATGCATTAATTTTGTTTTAATAGTAATCTGGAAATTAAGGCATGCATGGTTGGGTCTTTGGTAAGAAATGTTTCTGGTCCATGTTGTCATTTTTTTTTTAATTGTTTACAATAGTTTTACATCAATAGTTTTACAATTAGGAATATTTGCTCCTTGGTTCTCTTTTGTTAGTGGTCCTTTGATTATTACATGCCCTTATATATCCACTTATGCCCTTA